AAAATCGGGTTTAAAAATATTATTAGTTCAAGTGAAGAATCTATTCTATCGATTAATAGTTTTTTAAACAAAGGAAAGTTTTTCCAAAATAACTTTTTTAATACTAATAAAGAGGATGAGAAAATACGGATTCAGTATTTATGAATGTAAATATTTATTTATTATGAGTATTAGTATATAATTTAATTTATTGCTTTCTTTTTTTTTAGATTTAGATAAAGCACGTTACTCTATACTATCATAAGAATTTTTTTTTAATCCCATAGGCAGGATTGCCTCGGGAGCGCCATAGGGCTGGTCTTCAATCGTGTCCTGGCACGGTTTTCGTCCCCGTTAGACTCAAACCGGCGACCTTGCGATTGGGACCCGGGAGCGCAACCACTCCCGTGGGTCATCTTAAGATATTTAAAAAAAAATTGAATTGTTTTAATTGCTAATATTATTCTCAAAGAAGTAAAAAATTTGGAAACCTAACATAATTGTACGCAGAAAAAATTTTGCAAGTTAATAAAATAAATAATGTTTTATAAATGTATAAAGTTTTGTATCGCTATAATAATTAAAGGAATGAGCGTACGTACAAGTTTGTAAAATCTTGATTTTGTTAAAGCGATCATGATTTTGTGAAAGCAGTGCAAACAATTCTGTGAAAATCTTGGTTTTTTTTTATTACATCGATAGATTTCATAGAATTTTCGTAAGGTCACATATAATAATTAAATTCTTTACGACTACACTGTTTTATGTGTATAATATATATGATGAGTATAGTATGCTAGTTTATATACTCAAATACGATTTTGGCATTATACTCCACTACTTTACGATGACAGACTTGATAATACACATATTGAAGCGACAAATAATATATATATAAACTTAAACGTATAAATTTGTTGATGAATAATAAATAAAAAAGATGAAATTGATAAAGGGTTAAAGAATAATGACATTATCATTATTTCATTTATTAGCATTTGGCTCGAGAGATATTAAATTTAATTAACTTTGACATGATTCACGATCATCGTTTATGCAAATAACGATGCTATTTAAATATCTTGGCATGGCCATAGTGTGCCATTCAAACTGACTTAATTAGATAGTTATGAAAGTGGATAGATTGTTTCCGTTAGACATAAATGCACCAACTATACTCCTAGTTGGAAAAACAGGTATTCATATCATGTTTTTCATTTCTATTTCTATTTCTATTATTTCATCTTATTTTAATACGTATTGATTTATTTGTTAGGTGCTGGAAAAAGCACATTAGGAAACTATCTATTAAAGTGTTATGATGAAGACAATCCAATATTTGATGTTTCAGCAAATTTTGTAAGTACATGAATAATTATCAAATTTGAATTAAATTTAATTATGATTTTTAGTTGAAACTTTTAAATTTTAGGACTCTCATACAAAATCTTCTAAATTCGCAATACTTGATATAAATGGCAAATCTTATAATGTTGCCGATACACCAGGAATTTTTGATACAAATGATATTAGCGATGCAACCATAAATGAACTCATACGCACGATAGTAAATTGTTCTTCTGGCATCAAGGCCATATTGTTTGTATTTGGTGAGTTATTATTATATATATTTATGACCGAATTAAGAATATTATTATTATGTACAATATTAAGGTTTGGATCAAATGTTTGCAGAAGCAAAACGATTCACGAAAGAACAAAAAGACGTTGTTGATGGGTTAGTTGCACTCCTCGGAGAGGAATCCAAACAATACATGATTGCGGTATTTTCACATTGCAATAAAAAACAAACGGAAGACACTAGCAACCTTGAAAAATCCTGGAATGCCGATGTTCGTACGTTTGTTAATTCCATAGGCTCTCGGTGGGCAATTTCTCCAAATTCTGACCTTTTTCCACCTGATGATAAGGTACATCGGTTGCATATTAGTGAACTGCTACATACAATTGATAAAATAGATGGTACCTATACAAATGATATCCTCACGAGGATCAGAAAAGAACGAGAGGAAGCTGCACAAAATGCAAAGGAAGCAAAAGAAAAGCTACAAAGAGATTATGATATATTAGAAAAGATAGCAAATGAAACTATTGAAAAAATAAAATCTTTAGAGCAGAAGGCACAGGAACATGAACAAATTACAAAAAGTATCATGGATTCTTTAAAGGATCTTAAAGAGAAAAGTTGCTTTTGGTTAGGAACACAGATTATGCTTGAATCTGGGAGAGTTATTCAAATGTCTGAACTTCAAGTAGGAGACAAAGTATTGTCAAATATTAGGAATGGAGTTTCCAAGTTTTCGGATGTTTATCTTATTGGTCATATTGGTAAGCTTGATCATAAAGTCAAGTTTGCTAAAATTGGCTTCACCAAACCAGATGGTTCTAAAGGTATATACTTTGATATATATATATATATATAATTTATATACTGTATTTATTTATTTTATTACTCTTTTATTTTATTTTGATAATGATTAACAATTTAACTAATGTTTAATGTATTTTTGGATTTTAGGTAAACTACTAGTAACAACTACACATTACGTATTTCGTGAAAATTTATCAATAGCATTCGCCAAAAATCTGCAGCCTGGAAAAACCAAAATTTTAATCTTAGATGATGATAAACAATTAATGCCAGTTCTTGTTGACGAAGTTACAAATGTTAGTTAATCTTAATCGTTATTATTGATATCGGTATATTTAAGTTTTGTTTACTTGACATACATTTTTCCAATTTTAGGAATGGCATGACCGATTTATTAGTTTCTACACACGAGATGGTACTGTGATTGCCGATGGTGTATTATGTTCATGTTATGACCATTGCCCACCATCTCAAAAATTAATGGATTTGGCTTTTTTACCAATTCGTTTATGGACTCATTTCGTACCAAGTACACATCACGATATAAGTCTTCATCCATATGTTGAATTCTTAGAAACTATATACCTTTCGTTTGTCCATTCTATGAATTGGGTTAAACAATCTATGATGTTGTTATTTGATCGTACTAGAAAATTTGCGAATGTGCTATACAAAAAGGTCTGTTTCTATTTGACACACTAATACCATGTCGATTAGTTAATCACTATTAGTTAAAATGCAAAAATTCGACAATTATGTTAAATGAAAAATCATTTGCAATAGATTAAAAAATATAACCTTTGAATGCTATTAAATTTGTTCGATACTGTTGGATTTGGTTTGGTTGAAAGATCATAAAGTTTGATACGTAACAAGTAAATGATCATAAAGTATTTGCTATTGTTTAAGTCTACTGAGTTGCAAGGTTTATTGTTCAGTTTTATCCTTTAAAATCTTAAAAAAAATCAAATAGAAATTCGCTTGGGGATGAGATGAATTACTTTGTGCATAAGAATTATAGTATCGGTATCGGCAACGTTATGCACGAACCACATACCGATACTGATACCGATGCCGATACATCTAACACTTTTTTTTACATCCCTCCATACCCGGGCGGGAATCACATATATACTACATATATACACAGTACATAGCGATAGTCTG